CAGTCCCCCCCCCCCCCACTACACCACTAACATTAGTTGACAATTTGCTCAAATTTTTGAACAAAATGTCTGTAACATCTCCAAAACTGACCTTAAATGAATGACAACATTAGAAAATAAAATTATTTAACAAAATAAATTAAGATTTATATGAGAACAAGTAATTGTATAAAAACATTGGAGTTGAGACCATAGGTTTCAAATATTAGATTGACATAATTAACTTTTAGAATTATATATATACATACATATATATATATACACACATATGTGTGTATGTGTTTAGGGCTAAAATTCACCATTCGTCCTTCAACTTTATGAGTTGTTCACGATTGGTCCTTCAATTTTCAAAGGTCCATAAGTAGTCCTTCAAGTACACGTCAGCCTCCAGATTAGGTCCTTTTGACATTAAACATTAAAAACTAAATGGAATACTAGTTCCATATTATACGAGCAAACTCCGATCCACTAGGTACGACTACTCCGTATTATATGAAGCTAGTACTCCACTTAGCTTCTAACGTTTACCGTCAAAAGTATCTCATCTGGAAGGCTGACATGTACTTGAAGGACTACTTATGGACTTTTGAAACTTGAAAGCTCAATCGTGCACAACTCATAAAGTTGAAGGACTATTTATGGACTTTTGAAATTTGAAGGACCAATCATGTACAACTCATAAAGTTGAAGAACTAATAGTGGAGTTTAGCCTAGGTTCAGGTGAAAATGAGATCTTTTGAAATAAATAAGAATGCATGTAGTGCTTTAGAATGTGAGATCTAAGAGTCATACATATATACATATATACATCTATATACATATAAGAGAGAGTGAGAGATATTGACATAATTTTACCACCCTATCCCTGATTATTTGTGTACTTTTGAATTTTTACGGTCAACTATTTTTAACTTCTAACATATAATTAAATAAAATATATATGATATTTTAATGGGAAAAATTAATATTTTAAAAATATTTTATAATATAAATCTAATAAAATTATTTTTGAATTAATATCTAATATCTCTTTTATTTAATTTGTAATCAAAGTTTACCATTTTTATTGAAAAAAATAAAAAATGAACAAAAACCCATGAACGAAAACGGTACTTGATTCCTAATACGAAGTATCTTGGTAAGTCATCACGGCCGGTTGGCATTGTGCACCTGACAAGGTAAGGAGTGCACATGGGAAACACTCGAATTTAATTTCAATCAATTGCGCTAAGACAAAATTATGTTAAGCATAAAGTCTCTACAATAATCAAGTATATATTTCCATAGTCACATAAATCGTGGTACGTTTCGGTACGGGTACGCGGTACGGGTACGAAATTCGCTAGAGGTAACGAATTCGGTACGAAGGGGGGTAGGTTCATTTCGGTACGAAGTGGTACGAAGCGGTACGGTGTACCATGTATTCGGTTCGGCGTACCAAAAGTCAAAACATAAGTAAACAAAAATAGATATGAGCATAAGTGCATAACATTACAAAATCCAATTGAAAAACAAGACATTATGGGCTTTATTATGTTTGCCAAAAGCCATTTAAAAAAGAGAGAAAAAATTACTGGATATTGAGGACTTTAGGTTGGGTTGTGGTGAGACTTGAGAGGGTGAGACACACACACACACACACACACACACACACACACATATATGAGGATACTGCCTAGGAAAACACGAAACTCTTACGGAGAGAAGTCACAGAACAATCGAGACTTTGGGGAAGTGCAATCGAGACTGGGAACAACTCACACGACACTTTGGGGAAGTGCAATCGCGAATTAAATTTACCGAGAGAACAATCGCAGATTGGAAGAGGGAAGGTCGCGGAAGAAACGAAATTGCGATTTGGATCGCTAGACCGCCGGCGATTGGCACTCCACATTCTCCGACTTGGTGCGACGTTCGGGGGCATCTGGATCGCCGTACCTTCGCGAATTGGAGCGCCGTACCATGGCGATTTGGATCGCCGTACCGGTGGCGATCGGGTCGCTGGCGAATTGCGATTGGGTACGACTCGTACCAATTCGGAAATCGAGGCTGGGTGTACGAATTCTGTAACTATGTATATTTCACTCTTTGTTAATAATCACTGATTAAAATCTAATTGATCTCTTTTTAAATAACCGTCGGGGCGGTTTTGTGGGGCCCGGGATGGGGTTCCTCTTTTTTGGTTGGCCACCAACCTGTCACGCTAGTCTTCGGTCGGAATTTGGACTTGTTTGCTAGTGTGCTGAGTACAGAGTATTAGCCACGAGTTTTAAACAAAGTTTTTTTCTTCTGGAGACTACGTTTCAATCATAGATGTATAGGTTTGCCATACACTAGTCACTGGTGGAGCTCTAATTTTTGGGTTATTTTTTAGTCTTTTATTCTCAAACATCTACCCAAAATCATGTTTAAAAAATGCATCACCTTAGAGCTCATCTATAAACTCTGAAAAATAAGAAATCAAAACTCATTTCAGGACAGATTCTGTACACTGATTCGAGTTGAATTCTTACCAAGTGAAGCTTGGTATGTTTTCTCAGTTCCTTCATGAAAAAATGTAGCCTTACGAAGCTTCTAATTATTGCTGCTAGAATCACATCATCTATATCTATATATTATTTAAAAAGTCATGAATTTGCAATGGCTTTTTCCCGCTCATTTCGTGGTACATATAATTTGGTAATTCTTAACCCCATATGGTAATTAGTAATGACAAACTTAAATGGTCTTAACCACATATGGTAAGATCGCATTTAAATATGGTATTTTTATACATTATCACACGGCATTAAGTTCCCGAAATTAATACACGGTATTAATAAACTGTTATTACTATTTATAATTTTATTTTAATATTATTAAAAAGGAAATAAAATATTATTAAAAACGAAATTATGTTCAAAACACGGTATTAATAAACTGTTATAAAACTTTATAATTTTATTTTAATATTAATAAAAAGGAAATAAAATATTATTAAAAACGAAATTATGTTCAAAACTTTCCATTATTATACTTATTTAATACGTGGTACCAATACATGGTATTAATACACAGTATTTTTTTTTATTTTTTATTAATACACAGTATTAATACACGGTATTTTAATTTAGGAAATTATGAAAAACGAAATTATGTAATTTTAATTTATTAATACACGGTATTGTAATAGGTAATATGTAATAAAACTTTCCATATATTAAAAACGAAATAATGTTCAAAACTTTAATACACAGTATTAGGTAATAGGTAATATGTAATAAAACGAAATTATTAAATTACACGTTATATTATTAAAAACGACATTAATGCACAGTATTAGGTAATAGGTAATAGGTAATAAAATTTTATAATTTTAATATTACTAAAAAGAAAATAAATCACGGTATTATAATAGGTAAAATATTATTAAAAACGAAATTATGTTCAAAACTTTCCATTATTAAAAAGTAAATCAAGCACGGTATTATAATAGGTAAAATATTATTAAAAACGAAATTATGTTCAAAACTTTCCATTATTATACTTATTTAATACGTGGTACCAATACATGGTATTATACTTATGTAATTTTAATTTATTAATACACGGTATTGTAATAGGTAATATGTAATAAAACTTTCCATATATTAAAAATGAAATTATGTTCAAAACTTTAATACACAGTATTAGGTAATAGGTAATATGTAATAAAACGAAATTATTAAATTACACGTTATATTATTAAAAACGACATTATGTTCAAAACTTTCCAATATTAAAATTATTAATGCACAGTATTAGGTAATAGGTAATAGGTAATAAAATTTTATAATTTTAATATTACTAAAAAGGAAACATATCCTGGTATTATAATAGGTAAAATATTATTAAAAACGAAATTATGTTCAAAACTTTCCATTATTAAAAAGGAAATCAAGCACGGTATTATAATAGCTAAAATATTATTAAAAACGAAATTATGTTCAAAACTTTCCAATATTAAAATTATTAATACAAAGTATTAAAAAGGAAATATATCACGGTATTATATTATATTATTATATTATAATAGGTAATATGTAATAAAACGTTCCATATATTAATACACAGTATTAATGCACGGTACATCGTAATTACCACAATTTCATACGCTAACTTACCGTGGATAGTATAAATACGCTACCTTACCGTCCCAGAAAATTAAACGAGTGTTCAGGAAACGAGAGTTTTAGAGAGTTATTATTTTAATATATTCGGTGTTTTCCTTTGTTTTTGGTTGGAGATGGGAGTGATGATTACCGCCGTAAAAAATGTTCATGCAGATTTCGGGTTGTTGATGATGAAGCTAAGAGCAATTAGAGTTTACCATGTCGCTGCTCATTCTCGAGGGCCGGAATCGTTGGATGTTGTTTTCCATGACTCGGAGGTAAGTTCTACATTGTTTTATATTTTACAAATACTCCCTCCGTCCTCCATAGATCTTCCCATTAGCCCTTTTTATTTGTCCCACATAGATCTTCTCATTACCTTTTTTAACATTTAAAATACCTCAACTAGCCCCACTTACTTTATTTATTACACCTTTTCCACCTTATTTAATACACCTCACTCATTTTCATTAAGGGTATTTTGGTAAACTTTCACCTTTTTTCAACTCTCCTTAAAAACCGCAAAAAGTCAAAACGAGAAGATCTTAGGGGGACGGAGGGAGTAATACGTCTTTAAACAAAAAAAAAATTAATTATAGATTAACGTTTTATATTTGTTGTTTGGGCTCTCGGATCCATGCTCAGATCAAAGATTCTGATATAAGCACATTCAAAAAAGATTTGCAAGAAAATGCGATTTACTTAATCATGAGGGTCAAGGTTTTACGCAATTCCCAAGACACAAAAACTACCAATCACCCTTGCATGCTCCAATTTTAGGGAAAGACAAGGATTCAAAAACTATCAGACAATGGATTTCCTAATTTTCAATTCAACTTTAAGAGTTTTGAAGATGTTCTCAAAACAAAGTTTGCTGACCAAGTCTTTTTAGTTGGTAAGGGTCATTTACAATTACATAATTTAAATACTTACACATATGAAATACATTTTATGTATTATGATTATGAAATTTTTAAAATTGTATTTTTATTGGTTTTCAGATATAATCGGGAAAGTAGTTAGTCAAACTGTGCCCGAAACCCGTATGGTTAAAAATGCCCCGGAGCAAATGATGGAAGTTACCTTGGAGAACCACAAGTAAGTGATTTTTTAATAACCAATTTCAATTTAATTAAAAAAAATATACTTTGAAAAAATTATTAAATAATTCATTTGTATGATACGTTATTTCGTGGTTAGCTAATTACTAAAAAATTGTGACACATATTATATTTAAAAATAATTATAACTTTTTTTTGTAGTGGCGTTCGGTTGAATTGTACATTATAGTGAATTCAACTTATCCAGAATTTCAAAAAATAGCCAACGAACTGAGCTACTTGCAGGAGTGTGCAATTTTGGCTCCTACACTGGATGTCGTCGATTCCATAAACGAATATATGACAGCGATGAATCCAAGCAGCGAGACTCGAACATACCTTAGTTCTGATAAAGTTGAGAACTCGGATTGCAGTTCAAGTTTTTTTGGTGACCTACACTCTCCCGAATTCTTAAATAAGATTCGTGCTTCAGGTGTACTGAATCACGAATTAACTCTGAAGGTAGGCACACCTATTATGTTGTTGAGAAATATTGACCATTCAATGGGTTTGTGTAATGGTACACGGTTGATAGTAACCCGGTTGGCTAATCACTCAATACAAGAAAAATATTATCAGGAAGCCACATGGGTGAAGAAGTTGTTATTCCAAGATTATCATTAACACCGTCCGATACAAGAATTCCTTTCAAGTTTCGAAGAAGACAATTCCCTGTGGTTACTTCGTACGCAATGACGATTAGCAAGAGCCACCCTGTTAGAGACTTTGTACAACCTGATGACAATGCCTTTGGACACAAATCAGTACCTGTCGAGATACAACGTCAAAGTTCTCATTGATTAGCATCACCTAACTTCTAAGACTATACGTTACTTCTGCTATGAGGGTGTTTATGATGTGTATTACATCATATATTTCTTCAGAAAGCTTTAAACATTTTGATTGATGTTTTGTACTTTGAAATTATATATACACTAAGCTCTATTGCATTTCAGTTTTTATCACTAAAAAATGATCTGAGTTCAAAAACATAAAAATGACCCGTGCAACGCACGGGTGTGATACTAGTTCTGATTAGTGACGAGTGAGATATGACCAAATTAGAATTGTAAATGTTTGTGGTTACCAAGATCAATTCTACTACAAACATACTCCCTCCGTCTCCAATTTGATTACAAATTGCGGGTTACGGAGTAAAATTTCATACTTTTTGAAATCATTTTATTTACAAATTGGTATATCAGTAAGATATAAAAATTATATATTAAAAAATTACGTCAAAAGTTCTACAAAACAAGAGGTGACAAGAATATTTTATTTTATCAAATACTTAATGAAATCGCGTAAACAAACAAAAGTTATCGAGAGTAGAGAAAAAAAAATTGTAATCTATTTAGGGACGGAGGGAGTATAACTTATTGTTTACTGTGGACTTATTGATATGTGACAAATATAAGAATAAAGAAAAGTGTGATTAATTGATATAAACATTGTTTATGAAATGTATTGATCGAGATTAATTTGGCATAAAACTTTATTTAACGAGTTGGATTGAAAAAGTGTAATTGTTGTACCACTCGGCAATTTTATGATGTTATCGTATGTTTATACATTTAAAATGCATTAAATATTTGAATAATCATTTTGATTGATTACTAGTTTTTTGAAAAGATTTTTTTAAATATCATTTTTCTAACGTCATACTCGGTTTAATACAATTTAGGCACTGTAGGGTATTAGAATGTCAGCAAATTTTGAAGGGTACAATTTGACGGGCAAGAATGGTCCATACAGTCACTACTTAAGCAGCAGCTCCATCTGGCTCAGTTGTCTAAGGGTATGTTTGGATGGACTGTTTTTGGAGAGGAATGGCTGTGGAGGAGCTAGACTTCATTTGATAGTCATAGACTCATAATAAGCTTGTAAAGCATAAGAAGTAGCTTTTGACTTTAGCTAACACTTCTCCATCATAACTCTTACCAAACAAGACCTTAGTTTATATGCATTAGATATTCTATAAATATTGAAAGATTAACATATTATGTCATTGTATGGGTATTACTCTCCAAATCCCAATATATAGTTCTCATTTGAAAACATTTTTTTTTCTTTTCAAAATAAAGACTACACCCTCCATAGCCTACCTCTCCAAACGGGTCCTAAGAGACATTAGTATACCATGTTAACTTGGCTTTGGCAGGTGTGGTTTACAGATCATGAAAACCATGGCATTGCTCCAAATTTGCAGTAGTGATCTAATATCAATCCATAAGAATATGAGAATTGGAATAGATAAACTTCTAATCCAATTACCCATATTCTTTCTACTGCTTTATTGCTTTTTGTATTTAACAGGTTGTTCAATAACAAGAAATTGTTCCACTTTCACTAATGTGGTTAAAAGGTTGAAAATCAATCAAAAGGGTACACACAACTGACATAAGATCACAAATGGTAAAAAAAGATGCTTGGCAAACAGGTTTTTTTTGGCTAAAGGGCCTGTTTGGAAGTCATTTTTTGTGCACTTTGAATTATAGATCCAACTTCAGTCTCCATTTCAAACTTTACATTTGGACACTTGACATGATGTTGAATGAGAACAAAGTTGTGTTGAGCGTATGGTATAGTATTTGCATAGTACTCCTATATTTTTTTTATGTTCATTTTTCAAAGAAACACCATTCCTAAATGATTTCACAAACTAATGGAGCAATAGTAGGGCAAGGAAGATGGTGAAAATCTCACAGAGTATTTGGTGATCTTTGATCCTCCATGAAGCTGAGAAATCAATGTCATACTTGAGTGTCATGTTTGGGTACAAAACTCCCCAATGTTGTCCTCTTCCACTGCTCCCATTTCCCCTCTCAGGCATTTCATCAAACAACTGATAGATGTATGCCTGAGAGACACCTTCTTGCCGCAATGGAGTTCCCATTCCTGATCTCAGGTGGGAAACCAGCCCTTTCAGGTACATCTCAGCGTACAGATGACTTGCATCGGCCACCGCTCCCGATTGTTGGTTGCCGCCGCCGCCGCCGGATTCAGAGCTAGGCCACCCCGTCTCCGTCACCACTATAGGGATACTCTCGTGGCCTGAAACAGCCATTGCAGCAACCACGGCGTCAACCATCATGTCGAAGAGATTGTAGTACCGGACACCGGTGATGACGTCGTCTCTATAACTGAATGCTCCTTCCCGGAACAGTGCGAATCCGACGGTGATCTCCGAGTGGAGTTTGTAGACGGTGTAGGGATATAGATTGACGAGGAACGAGGAATTTGTGTCTTCCAGAAACTGGAGCAGTGGTCTTATGATATGGCTGTCCGCCGGCGCCTGGAACTCGCCGGAAGAAGGCGGGAACGTCTCCGTGACCACATTGGTGAAGGAGAAAGTGGTGGATACGGAAATAGACCGGATGCCGAAATCGCTTAAGGCCAATTGGACGTTCCGTATTGCCGGTAAAATAGCCGTGGAAGGATCGAAGACTCCGGAAGAGGCGGAGGCGACGACGTCATCTCCGACGGAGATGATGGTGACGCGGGACCGGGGATAGAACGGGAGAACGTGATCGTAGAGCCATAGGTCGGCGGAGCTGCGATTTCGAGCGAAGTAGGGAACCAAGTAGTTGGGGACGGAGAGAAGCAGAGAGATGTTGGTGTAGGAGAAGGCGCGCACGGCGGCCGGGGTAGGATCTACGATGCGGACGGCGGAAACGTCTCGAGCCATGAGATAGTTAGCCACCTGCTCGGGCGGCGGAAGGCCGGGCGAAGGAGTGTAGGTGAAACCGATAGCTGTTGTTGTAGTGGAGCGTGCTGCGGCGGAGGAGTCGTGGAATTGGAAGAGCTGCGCGAGAACGAAGACGAGAAAATGACGAACAAAGCACCTCACATTCGCCATTTTTGTTCTGTTTCGAAGCTCTGAAGAGGATCGGAGATATAAGGGTTTTGCTTCTCTGCAATGGAGGTTTTACGGTGCGCTCAGATAGTTAGTTAGGCGGTTACGATTTCGTTCCGGTGCTTCGAGACGCAGGCAGGGTTACATGCTCCTCATCCTAGAGCACATATCAGGGTGAATATTATTTTTCTATTGAAGTAGTTCCTTCTTGAGTTTTTTTTTCTATTTTTTTTTCTTGGTTTCGATCATCGTTAAATTTCTAACAGTCAATTAATGAAATTTTCAAAAAATATCTAATTTTCGAAAATAAAAGAAATTTGAGATTGTTTTAGGTAAATTTTCTTATTTTTGTTTTTTGAATTTCTAACATTAATTTTTGGATAAATAATCCTTTTATTTTTTTATAAATAATACTCTTCCAAATTTAAATATTTTTATCTAAATTGATAGTTGTAGTTTTAAATAAAAGTGAGCGTGGTACAATATTTTATTCATACCCATACTTTACCAAATATTTTGGTTCAATTTTATATTTTACATGAACAAAAAATAAGCAAAAAGAATAAAAGAAATAATCCAAAATAGAAACAAGTCTTTAAATAGGCAAAAAGAACAAATTAAATAATCTAAAATAGAAAAACATAATTTTAGATATTCTTTTTTTAATAAGAAACATAGCCTATCTTTACCACAATAAAATTAAATTCGTAATTTATATCAAATGATACAAACCAGATCAAAATAGAACTCGTTTAGAAAATTACTCCGTGAAATGAAATCATATTGTAGGAACAAAAGAACATAATCAGCCTAAGAAAGTACTGTATAAGTTCACTATGTGTTTAGATATAAGATTTTATGTTTAAAGACTTCATTTTAAGATGAGTTAAAATGATAACGATAATATGCATGCTTGAAGACGTAAAGAAACCAAGTGTTCATTTTAGGATGGGAAGAAGAAGATTATGCTACAATCAAAACATTGTTTATACCATTAATATCTCTCAAACAAACTCAAGGAAAATAGAAAGATATGAAAATGAGGCAGGCTAGAGGGTCCAGTTTCCACTGCAACAAAAAAAACTTGATTCTCCATCTTCACTGCAAAATGTAAGATGCAAGTATTAATCTCAGCAAATGGATGAAACAATACATGAAATTACAAAGACAGTTCCCTGATTTCTATGACAATGGATATACACATACATATCCACCCCCAACGGTGCTAGGGGGCTAAGTTGCACCTAGACAGGGACAGTGACTTAGAAGCGTGAAACATCAAATTTTTTCATAATTTATAAAAGGATTTGGGTCTAGGGCCCCTAAGTAACCAAACAGGGCGTTTCGAGAAAAGGAAGTGACAACTATTTGAAGAATCCATGAAACATAGCTAGTAAACTTCAGTGGGTAGGTTGTTGTTAACCCAACCCATATAGTGTAAGGCATCATTAGAACTCACCTATGCATACATAGATGAGAAGAAAGACTAGAAAGAATTAAGCACACATTACTTCTAATACTGAGAATCTTGCTTTTCAAAACAAGGTAAGAATCATGAGCAAAAGTGATGTGAAGTGCCAAAGAACCCACTGCAGCATAACAACACAAAATGCCCATTATGGATTATACAATAGTTGGGTGTCAAGATTTTGAGACGAAATCTAAATAGTTCTGAAGCATTAACTGTATATATATATATATATATATACTTCTACCCTTCTTAAATAATATAGCAAGACTAGCAAATACAGGTTTGGCATTACAAAATTAAATCGCCAATATATGCAATTATGTAAACATTGATATTACAATAGTTTATCGGGAAGCCATTAGGAACATCTCATTGCCTAATGTCTTTTATTCATAGGTTAGGCAATTAAAGTCAAATTTAGTTAAATTACACTCTATATTTTATTTGCAGGGTATAACTCATGACAGCTCAATTGAATGCTAAACTTACACATAGTATTTCTAAAAAACAATTCAAATTAAGTCAATTTCATCTCGAAACTTTCAACTTAAAGAAACAACTCAACTCATCACACACTGATTCACAAGATCAACAAAATCTCTGCTAATCGATCTGAAAACTAACACCAAGTGGACAAAAATACTTCAAACTACGAAATTGGCACATAAAGCCCAAAATATAAATAACATTATTAGTTGAAAATAATACCTTAGATATGGCTTGGGTACATGAAAACCCGAACCTTGTTTCCCTGCAAATTCAAAATGACAACACAACATAGATTATAAAACAATATAAACTCTTTGTAGGCTGAAATAATTTAAGCAAGCAAATCAAACGAACCATGGATTTGGGCGGCAAGTTCGACTTGAACTTAGCTCTCACAACCCCACTGTTTCCGTGAGGCCGGCATACTTTTCCCCAGATACATCTGTAGAGGGAGTTATTCTTCTTTGTCTTAGCCTTGTAGACATAGGCCATCCTCTTTCCCAAGTACCAGCTCACTTCCTCCTTCGTGTTCACTCCCTCGATCTGAATCAATGAGGTGTTCGGGTACTGGTTCGACTTCGATCTGCACTCCAATTCACGAAAAATCAGAATCAAAATAAAATCGTTCAAGAAAAATATGAACGAGTAAATGTGAACAAGAACACGAATTCCATGAATCACCTCTTGTAGCCGAGGACAGTTCCCCTGACATAGAGTCTGCAAACAGAAAATGAAAGAAATATTAGAAAAACAGGAACTCGGAAAGAAATGAAAAGAATGAAATCAGAAAAAATGAAAAAAATGTAATCAGAAAAAATGAAAGAAAAAAGGAAATCAGAAACGGAAGAATGGAACCTGATGCGCTCTCCTTGACGTCCCTTCACCATTTTACCCCTGGAATGGAACCCTAATTTCAGACGAAAGAGAAGACGGAGGAATGGAACCCTAATTTCAAAGACGAAGGCGAAGACGGAAGAGAGAGATTTATACTTAGGATTGCAGAGGGTTGAGGTTTTGATTGGGCCCGTACCCTGAATGCGTTGGGCTGATTCGGATCCAGATCCAGATAGACTTAAACTTTTCTTATATAGTCAATGTCTTGATTCAAGCAAATTAAAATAATTAAACTATTTTTCAATTAGTTATAAATATAATTAATCTAACTAAGTCATTTTTAAATGCATAAAATTAAATTTTTCCTAATGTATTTGTTAAGTTTAAAATTTTTAATGAAAACTAAACAAATTTTCAACATCAATTAAATAAAAATTATTTTGTATAGTGTATATTACTCCGCATTATAAAAATAATTTTATTAAAATTTATTTTGTAAAAAATTTTAAAATTTCATTTCATTGTTTAATATGAAATACAAATTCAAATTCTTTGATGATTAAATTTTTTTTAGATTAACTTGAAAAAAATTAAATTGGACAAATACACTATGATGAAGGTTGCATTTCTCATAGGAGAAAGGTATGAGATTTAGGGAGTCAATTATTATTTTTGGAATGGAGTTTCCTACGTGTCTCAAATGGAAAAGTGTCATGACACTAGCCTCAGTGTTATTGCCCCCATGAAAGGCACAAAAGTGGTGGTTCAACTTTTACACCAACAAAATATTTCGAGATTTTAGACGGCTGACACTTCTACGTAGAATTATTTCAACAAACAATATCCTTCTTAGAATGTTCATCCGGTTCACTTAACTTTAATTATCAATTAAATTAAGCTTACATAGAATATAAAAACAATGAATTAAAATTTTGATAATTTTCACACGATAAATCGAATGGAATCAATTTTGTACTAATATCTACTCGCTACGTCTCAAATTGGATTACCGAATCATAACTTTTTGAAGACTTAGCTCTCTATAACCTTTTACTTGTTTGTGTATTTTCATTGCTTTTTTGAAGACTTAGCTCTCGATAACTTTTGTTATTTTCATTTTAAATGCATAAATTTTATTAAATATTAGTATACTAAGTTTTAAATAAATCAATTTTAAAAAATGCAAGGTTTTACTTTGTAAATATGAAATTATAACCTACTTTGAGACGAATGAAATACGGAGTAATACAATTTGTATTTGATTGAGCAAAATTTGTCAGGTTTAACTTTTGAAAAGTCAAATTAAATTTAAACATAGATAGTACTCTCTCTGTCCCATTTTATAACGTCTATTTCAGTTTACGAATGATATATAATTAAAAATTAAAAAATACATATTAAAATACTACATCAAAAAATCTACAAAACTAGTAGTGACAATAGTACTTCATTTTATCAAATTGCAAACGAAAATAGAGAAAGAAAATGAATGGAGTTTGACCCTGTGAATAGTGAACATGCATTATAATTTGGGACAGAGGTAGTACGAGTATATCATAAACAAGAACAAGGGAGTGTTTACATGAATTTGTCTTTAATTATTGTAAGAAATTTTTTATTAGAAATTGGGATGAAATGAATAAAATTGCATAAGGGAAAAATTAGCAACAAAGGCGAGAGACTGAAGGAGCTGAGTGCTACACATTTTTTTTTCTTTTTCACGCTTATTGTGATAATTACTCTCCCTCCCAGAAAGAATGCCACGTTTACTATTCTGGTTTCTCGATAACTTTTGTTCGTTTACTTGTTTTGGTTGACCATTTGATAAAATAAAATATTCTTGTCGCATCTTGTTTTATAGAGTTGTTCATATACTTTTAAATGGTGTAATTTTTACTTTTTATTACTCTACCAATTTGAAATTAAACTGATTTTAAAAGAGATAATATTTTACACGTATTCGAAGTGATGGAAATAAATTGGGAAAGGAGGGAGTAACATCTAAAAATGACCGCAGTCGAATGGCTTGAAGCCAATGGATCTACCGACCAAATCGAATAAGATGATATAGTCCATTTGGGAGAGGTTTCCCCAAATGGAAGCGTCGTTTGATAACGGCAGGCAAACAACACCATCACCTACATAATAGCTAAGCAATGCTTTGGGCGAGAGCTGAACGACGGCGCCCCCGGCAAAATGTGCCGCCACCGCCGGAAACACTTCCGTGGATATGTCGGACGCGTTGTAACAAAGTTTAAACGTGCCACTTGGGTCGCTCATCGGGGTGCTCTTCACCACACTTCTTAACTCTGTTATCAACGCCTCATGCAACTCATTTGGGAGATAGGTTAAAGTGGTCCCCGAGTCGACCAGCATTCTGCCGGTCGACTCATTCAGGGGATTGCAAAGCACCGTTTCCCCCCGACACTAAAGTTTTCTAACGTGATCCAGTACCCAGATTATGTGCCGGCCATAGGGGTTGAAACGACACCGTTTGGGTCTGTGATCACAGCGTCAGAGTCGAATGCGATGTGGGTGGAGACATTAGCTTCGGAATACCACGGAAGGCAATACATGAACCTCCCAATGTTGGCCTGTTTGATGAAGGAAATATTATCGCCATTGCTGAGGCCGAAAATTCCGGTGGTCAGGGGCGTATTCGTCCCGGAGTTATTGAAACCACACCCGAACACAAAATTCGGGAAGGACGTGTCACCGATCACAAGAGTATCGTAAGCTAAGTCACCATGAGTGTACGACGCATCCATATAGCCGTAGTCATAATGGCATAGGTTGGTGGAGGTGTCGCATGAATACCAGCCACCCTCGAGACATATCGGGGTGTCGCACGGCAACCTTGTGTACGACGAGCTCGTTGACGGGTCGAACAACGGCATGTCTTGCGGGAAGCATACGCCTCGACATGGCTCACATTGTATCCACGTGAGGTCGCTGCCGGTGTCCATTGCGGCGAACCTCTCTACCGGAGGCGTGCCAGTGGAGAACTTCATGGCGTAGTATCCGATGGCGTATTCAAGGTCGGTTGCAAACTTAGCCGTTGCAGAGCCAAGGAGGCCCGGCGCAGTAGTGGCCGCGCGTCGCTTGATTTGGGCGACGCGCGATTGGGATGGGAGAAAAGTGTCGTCCTTTGGATATTCAGCCCTAGGCTTTGAAGGGTTGTACGAATGTAAGTTTATTGGATAATCAATGTGGATGATTTCAACTCTGAAACTTTGGCTTTGAGCACAAAGGAAAGCAAAAACACCAAATAACAAATTAATGGTTTCAAAAGCCACCATGTTTTTTTAAAGAGAACTTTAGATTTCTTTTATGTGAAATTTGTACTAAATAGGATTAAAACATAAATCTTTTTCCAATGTAGGTCTTTAACTTTTTTATTCTCTAAATAGAACTTAATAATGTCTAGTGGGAGGAGTAATGTCCAGTAATGATGAACATTTACTTGAATAATGACTGATTGATAATAACCAAAGGTCCCACATTGAGAAATAAAAACATATGATCCTATATTGGAAAAGTCATTATGTTTTAGACCTACTTAGATAAATTTCTCTTCTTTTATTTTATGTATAGCACTAAAGTGCCAGTGCATAGTGCGTTTGATTTTGTTACCGAGGAATATTTACTCCGTAAAACACGTTATGATTTATTAGGATTGAATTAATGCATTATTACTTGCAACCGTGGTGATTAAAAGTTACTTAACTCACCATTTAAGTAGCAATCAATCCCCCCCGGGCCTATTTGACTAAGTCCACATCATTCATTACAAACTTGGGCCTGTTTGAGAATAGCTTTAGCGATTAGCGTTTTGAAAAGGCTATCTACGGGCAGCGTTTAGCGTTAGCGTTTTCAAAGTCATCTGCACCGTTAAAATTTTATCCAAAACGCTAAAGCTAATCTCTAACCTTATTTCCAAACAGGCCCTATACTACTTATGTTTCAGAGTATTTATCCACTTTTGACTTTTTTTTGTCAGAATTGGTAAACTTTGACCTTAAATTAAATAAAAATAATATTAAATATTGATACAAAAATGGTTTTAATAGATTTATTATATAAAATATTTTCAAAATATTATTTTATTTGATTAATATACAACATATATTTTATTTAGTTATAGGTCAACATTAGTTATTTAACTTTAATCATTTATTATATTTAACTTGCATTGCATATAAATCCATTAAAATAAAACTTTGATAATTTTTCACATGATAAATCAAATTAATTAATTTTGAGCTAATTCATAATATAATTTTTATTTAATTAATAATCAAAATTTATCAAATTTGATTTTCAAAAATTCAACCTAGAAGAATATTCTAAAATGGAGGTAATAAATCATAGAGAAGTATTTACGTGGATTTGTCTTCGATTTTTGTAAGAAAAATTTTGTTAGAAATTTGGATAAGATGAACAAAGACCAAATAGTCTCAGTATCCCATGTAGTTTGAAAAATTGGCATCAATACCCGCTCTATTTTCAAAACTGATTTTTAAAGTCCTTGTTGTTTCAAAATGTTGCAATCCACTCACACCTCATCCGATCATTTTCGGACCATTTTCTGAAAAGAGGAGGCATTGGTGCATATTTTCTAAACCATAAGGGGCATAGGTGCCCGTTTCTTATTTTTCATTATTACTTCGTCTTTTTGTTTTTTTTAACTTTTTTATCTCCTTGTTTTTTTCAAAAGATTTTTTAAAATTTCTTTTAAATTTGTTGTAATATTTTTAAAAATTTTAAATTATGTGTTTGAAATAAAAATTATAAAATTCACATATACTCCATTTATCTCAATTGAAACACTTTAACTTTTTGTATTCTAGAATGATGTTTTTAGTAAGTTCAAAAAGAAACTAAAAAAATAGAAATATAAATATAGAAAAATGAAATGGAAAAAATTGAAAGATGTTGGGGACTTGTCATGCGGTCCAAAACAAATTAAAAATTTATAAAATATCCTTAGCTCACCCCCAATATAATCAAATGAAAACTATAACAAGGGCAAGTAAGGGTCGATCTCACGGAGAAAGTTTGTACGTTTTCAAACCAATTTAGCGTGCAAACACATTGTCACAAAAATAAAACAAATAAAAGCATACTAACTACTACACATATGATAAAACTTATAATAGAACTTATTCAAATAAACATAAGAACTTATAAATAACTTATATAAACATTCAACTTATAATATAACTTATAAACAAAACAAATACCTAAGTATATAAAAGTATAAAAACTTATATTTATAACTTATAAATAAACACTTATAATATAACTTAGAAAACAAGGGGGGGTTGGATGAAAAGTAAGTATTTTTTGGTTTTTATATTTTTCTTATTTTTTTGGTTTTTTTGATAAAATGGGGGAAACAAGCTCAAATGATAATCAACTTCTCCAACTAAGGTAACCCAAGAAACACCGCCAAAAACCCAAAACAAAACGAAAAAGAGAACACACACAAATTGAACATTACACGTATAATAGCCACTTAGACAATATATTACGTAATTTACGCACTTAAGAATAGAAAAGAATTCAAATGCTCGAGTTGATTCATATCCTTGAGCACATATAGAGGATCGTCAATTCTCTATAAGGCCCGGAGTCAAAGATTCAAAGGCCTTTTGGTTACTCAACCCACTCACCTCAAGGGCTCAAACAATGAAACCAAAAGATGAAAAAGTTTATAAAAGAGCGAATCTTTCTTTCATTCTAACTCTCATGCACAAAGTATTCATGAAGAACATTTGATACAATTTAATAATCTTTAACGTCTAATGATTAAAATATTTTGCAGGTCTCCTTGAACAACTTAAGCGTAAGAATTTTAGTCTATTCACATAAAAGAACATTACATATATTTTCATTAACGACCCGGTTCTAGTGACACCGGAGAACGGTGCCACTGGGTTTTTGGACACCTCCGGCGCTCCGTTCGTAAAATTGACGGTTCCTACCCCCTAAACCCCCCACCCCTGCACTCCCGCCCCAACCCCGCCGTAACTCCACCACAAAATATGTGGCTATTATGCAATGCACGGGAGTACGGTTCAATTTGACCGATAAACAAAATTGCCTTGCGAAGAGTCAGAAAGGTGAGAAATACGAGGGCTCCACATATTTTTGGTCATTGCTACAGAAAGAGTTCTACACATTTTGCTAAATAGAATCCATCACCATGTCCTTGAAATATTTTTTTGAGTCACCCTTATTGTACCGTTCATTAAAAACTATATACATTTCAATAGACAATGTGAAATGAAATTAGCCCCCACAAAAATATGATACATTGTTCCCAACTTTGCCCCTAACCTCATTTTCGCAGACACACACGAACATTCGCCTCGTGTTCGTACGTACAAAAAAACGACGTTAACGGCAAAGGAGGTAAAGGTAGGGTGCCAACAATTTTTTTGGGGGGTAAATAATGTCAATACTGCCACAATCTATGATTTTACACAAATACTTCTGGATTGCATCAACATCACTAAAGCCCATAAAAATTCAATATTTTCCCAATAATATTCCACCTTTCTTGGATTTTCGTAAAAATATTGAATTTCTAATGCATTGGTGATACTTATGTAATTTTAGAGTATTCGTGTAAAATCTCATATTGACATAAATTTTTTTTGTTTATATCAAAACAACACCCTACATGTCAGCAAAGACATGGTATGTACTAGAGTCGACGACAATCAACCTGAGTGCGGCAACAAAAGCGGCGACAGACAAACAACCAAAGAAGACGACATTGAGCCAATGCCAGCTCTTGTGCAAGGAGGAGAGAGTGCTGCCTTTGGCAACCATGTACATGTGGTTCGCGAGTATGAACGTGAGCGGGAACACGCTCGTGGCCCCCGTTAGGCTCATGAAGTCCCCGAGGAATGGCAACAAGGCCGCGAGGAATGTGGTGAGGACTAAATAGCCCCCCCGGACCAGTGTCCGGAAGCCGAGGTTGCGGGGGATGAAGGCGCTCCCTCTGATCCCGTATCGCGTGTCCAAGAACTCGTACGTCGGGCTTGCAAATATCTGAAATGGATCATATGTGTGTGTGAAAAACAATGATGAGCATGCATGCCTTAAGAAACATTTGTTGTGTAAAAAGGTGAATGTGTAGGATCGTTTTCTGGAACTTCACAGTGACCAGTGACCATCCTGGGACTACTCCCGTTCTAGCACGCTTAACTACAGAGTTCTGAAGTTAAAGAGGTGCCAAATGCTTCCTAAAACCAATTGGTGATAGGAAGGTGGGCACTTTGTATTTAACCACATCTCACTGTAGCCTCAAGTCGAGGTAGATTCCTATAGGGCACCCCTTATAGTTCACTACGGCAGTGCGGAGCCCCACTACTGAGCGGTGGATGAACAGGATGGGCTTCGCAAGATACACGACTCATGTATCTTGTCAGGTTGAGCTGTCAATACCCGATACCGTGACAAGCACAGTAGCGAATCCCTAAGGGTGATCGATGGTCCCCCATAAGACCAACAGAATGTTGCAAAAATAAGGGCAAAAAAGCCTTCTCGTTGTAGAAAAGAGGAATAAGGACGGTCGAAAAAGGAAAACGAGAAGAAAGATATATGACGAGAGAAGTATAGAAGTAGAGATGGGAACTTACATGCAAGGAAATGATAGCTTGTAAGAAAGCACACATGTTAGCAAAAGCCTTCAACCAAACTGGGCCGTTGACGTTGTTGAGCAAATACGCAGACGAGCCCGACCCGTAGGCCCAATAGCCCATGAAGGTGACAGCAAGCATCGGGATCACTCCCACGGTGAATTGAAAGTAGAGTGCTTTCATCATGTTCTTCACTGCCGGTTCTTTCACGGTAGCCTGTCATCCCAAATAAACACATAAATATGTAAAATCACGATAAAATTCTTTCACATGAAGGTTTGGTAAAACCATCTAATATCTACAAACTCTAATGTCTGAACCAAACCCATTATGATCTTTTGTGAACCATTCATCACAAAACTATGAAAAGATGCATATGAATGCTTACCTGTATCTCTGGAATCATTCCTGTGTTAAACGCAAACACGAGGTTACCCGCTGCACCGATAGTTGTAAATATTCTGCCTGTTTTCGTTCCCGGGATGTCATAGTCTCTCGGAGGAGCATTTATACCTAAAAGATATTCAAAGTTAAAAGCAATAAAACTATGTTTTGTGTAAATATATATATATGGAACTTTTTTCTCCACTCATACAGAAATGTTCATGAATCTTGAGCATTCGAACAGATAAGCAGAGAGAATTCTGAATAATCCCATTTTTCCAAGTAATGATTTTTCGAGGAGAATATATCACGTACCATCTTTGAGTGACAAGACAAATGTGGCAAG